TCCATTGTAACTGTGGACGTCGTTGAATATTTGTTTGATATTGTTTAAAATGATTAATTGTTTCAGGTGTTAATTCAAATTTAAAATTAGGTGATAAACCGTCCGATTGAAAACTTGATATACTATTTATAAAAAATGAATTAGCTGGCTGAATAAAATCATTTAATTGTTGTTCTTGACTTTTAACATCATCTTTTTCGACATTTGATGGTTTTATTAATACTGTGTTTGTCTTCGTAACACACTTGTTTATGTAAGCAGATGTTGATGACGACGAAAAAGAAGTTGTTGTCGGTTTTCGATTTTCTGTACAATTGTTACCATTGCCAATATTAATACCACTTGATGATTTCATAAGCACAGTCAATAAGATTTATTGATCAAAAAAATAAAAAAAAAATAAAATTGAATTAACACTTATTAGGTATCTGAAGGAAGAAGAATTTGCCTTGCCGACGTCTACCAATGAACAGCAAAAATTCAATAAGTAGCAACTCAAAATGCCATAATAAAGAAAAAATAAAGTTTTATAGTAATTTTTTCTTCCTAAAGTCTACATTTTATTTTTTTTTAATTTAAAGAACTGATCAACTAAATAGATGATATATATATATATATTTATGCATTTCCACATAAATTTCATATTACTCACAGTACTCCCCAAAGATGATGATGATGAAGAAAAGAAAGCATGTCTTTCATTTGACAAAAGAACAAATGTTGTTGTTATTGGTGTGTTCTGGTTGTTGATGCTTGATAGATTTTTTTTTCTTTTTTTTTTCTCAATCAATGTCCTCTACAACATTTAAACAACGAGCAACACGGAACACCTTAGCAACTTCGCTTTAGAGAACGAGTATCGTCGATGACAACAATAGAGAATAGATGCTGTTGAAAAAAAAAAACTAATTTGATGAACTTCTTTTCCACATGTTTGCTTTGTTTTTTGTTTATTCAATGATATTCTTCTTGAAATTTATTTGACAAAGAAAATTTTCGAATATTTCTGTTTTGTTCGACATAAGAAAAGAAATAATTGTTGAAAAAATTAAGAGTTTACCTATTGAGAGTAAAGGCTAGAATGTTGAACAAGCTTTTATTGTATGACGAATTATTACGTACTTGAATTCAAATTAGAAACTGTGTCAAAATGAAATCCGAAAAGTATACAGGAGAATTGAAGTGATTGCCATTGATAGAATAAGGATGTAGTTACGCAGTTTGCGACAAAAATAGAAGACAATATAAATTTATTTCGTTGCTTTATATATATATATATATATACACGTCAGCTGTTAGTGCAATCCTTGTGAAATTAAAATGTGAAACATAGAAAGATTGTTTTATTTTATCTAATCTAAGATATATCATTCTTGTAATTAATCATTCAGAAATGCGATAAGAAAGTATCTCAATAATGTTAGCCACGATCTACGACGCAAAGAGAGGGCATTTCGAAGATGTTAGTTATGTCTATGACGTTTGAGGGATACCAAGACTTGTTTTTTGGAATTTATTGGATCTTTTGAAAGTTCTCGGATATTCTTTTTCTCCATCATATAGTATGGAACAATAATGTGTTTTATAGAATTAATCTAAATAAATCACAATATAAATTAATTGATCATTGGATGACAGAGACTGTCATACAAACTTGTTAACATCAAATAATTGTTCAGCTGATCTATTCGAGATACATATAACTCTATTGATGTTTCTCTGCATCTAACTCGCTAAAATGAATTAATTCCTCAGCTGATTGATTCTTTTACCAGCGGATACTTTCTCAGTATAGCAGCATCGGCTTATATCGATAATCTCTGTTCTAAAATTTTGACAAATGACTAAAAATACAGAATAATTCAGTGTTTCGAATGGTGGCTTCTTAGTTCATACATTTAAGGTTTGAATCCTTACTTGACTCACTTTTTTCGTTGCACATAGTTTTTCTGTTGATTAATATGTCATAACAAGATATCTATTAAAAATCCCAACACATAATATCGAATAACTGTATTCTAGCTTCCTATAACTCCAAGTTCTTATAAATTCCGAAACATCCCGAAAAAACACGCCCTGATCTTTGTTGGTCGATCCCGTCTGTTATGATCCGTGATAAAATCTTGCATGTTCTATAGGGAATGCAAAGTTCTACCCTATATATTCCATCATTCCTTTCAAATCAAATTTCAAAAAAATAAATCTAAAATAATTCAATGACATGTATGAAGTGGAATCAGTTCCATCTTTTATGATTCAATCATAGCAATACTATCTAAATTTCATGAAGTGCCGCATATGGATGCTTCAAAGTCACTTATCATTTACGATCAAATAAAGTCTCATATATTCATATGAACATGCTACTCGAAGTTGCTCAATAACACACATTAATATTAATTAGATTCATAGATGGTGTTCTTCTATGTCGTAATTATATGCTGAAATATTTCATATATTCATCGTTTGATAAGTATCCACCACAACACGTGGAGCAGCACGTAAGACTCAGTAGATCGAAAAGTTTTTCCTACATGTTGGACAGTAATAACATATCGTTGGCCCATAATTTAAGGTCTCGTTTCTCATATTATTGGTGAATCAGTTTGTCGAGAAAATAAATGAAAATGATGTTTCAAAATCAAATTTTATCTCGGTCACTTTCAAGTTTAGTATTAGATGACGACTGAGTTAATTTTGATAAATTTTTTAAATTCATTTGTTTTTCCGTTTTCTTTCTATGGCTATAGTTTTTTCTCTCTCTCTTATCTTTATTTCACATGACATGTATTTTCTTCTGTTTCTTCGTTATTTAAGCATTTTTTAACTCAAAATTGAATCGATTATATCCAAATACACTTCAAATATCACCAACAAATTATATTTCAATTATATTAGACATAGTTCTCACATGTATACTATTCTATGACAATTAGCAAATTCGTCCATTGAACTTTCACCAATAACTGCCAAAGACGTAATATAAATTATAAAATAATTTTCAAACAATTATTTGTTTACTATGTTTATTTAACAGTTCTTTGCAAAATTTCAAGTAGCTAATATAATATTGTTAAAAACAATCAACTAATTCGTAAAATATCTGAATGAAAGTATCTATTTGACATATGATATCGATGTTGATGAAATTGTAGATGTTTTTTTTTTCTACCAAATCTAGCGAATATGATTTCCCTATTGTCTGATCAACAACGACATAAAGATAAAAGAACATTGATAATTTACACTCTTTTATCCAATACATTAATAAAATAATTACGTCGGTCATTATTTTTCTTTTATAATATTCATATTTTATTTATTATTAAATGATGAATGAAAGAGTACACAACGTAAAATAATTTTACAATGAAAGACTTTTACTCTTCATATCTCGCACCGACATGTATTCATAGTAGAACAACAATAATTCTTTTGTATAGAAAGTCACTTGAAAAAATTTTAAAAAAATGGAACTTGTTGCAAGAAAAAATACAAAATGAAATGTTTTCATTAAAATGCAATTAAAGTAAATAGCTGTTCTCGAAATCAATTAGTTGTTAACATCTTTATAGAATGAGTACGCTGCTTTTTTTTTTTTTTTGTTAGAATCATGCAGAAAAAGAAATTATAATACTCATAACTATCGAACATCAGTTGATACAGGGATCATCATATTAACGAGCGCTATCTTCAAATTATTAGATACGATTCTCTTGTATACAATAATAAAGATGTGTAGGTAAAAAATTACTTCTATCATAAATAGGCATATTTTTCTCTTGTAATCTCTAATAGATGTAAAGATTATGATTTTTCTTATAGTTAATAATGTTCAATTTTCTTATTATTTTTCTCAAGTATTACTTTGAAATTATTTTTGAAGATGATCACTTGATGGTTTTTATTATTTTTTTTTAAATAAAATTAAGAGAACATTTCGTATTCTCGAATATTATCATTAGAAAGTTTGTTGTCATATATACATATATCAGATAAGTTGACCAATGAATTTACATCATTGGTAGAAGTATGTTTTAATTATTAAATACATATAATACTTTTTTTCCGATTCAATCTTTTATAATTTAAAATGATATTTATTTAGAAAAAAAAAACAATCAAAGATTTATGAAAAATTCATAGAAAAAAACTTCCATAATTCATAATTTCTCTATGCGTTCTAGAAAAAATTTTTTGTCAACAAAAACAAAACATATCCCACATATGGCAGTAACTTGTCATTATGTAAGTGTTCTTAGCAAATCACCAAGAAAATGCCTCATTTCAGCTATTGATGAATCATATATATATATATAAAAGAACATTATTCATAAGCAATATTGAATAAAACGATGAATTAATTTTTTTGAGAATATCTTACGAATAAGAAAAAACTTCAAATATTTTTAACTCAAAGTCATATAAACAAAATCAGCTGTTTAAATGCATATTCGCGTTAAATAAATGCATATTAATCAATCAACCAATAGAAAACAATTTTACACATATATATATGTGTATGTGTGTGTGTGCATACAATATGTATACATTCATTCATCAGTCAGTTGAGTCTTGTCTTTCATCCATCGGTCATTCCGTTCATACACTTTTTTCTTTTTTCTTTTTCTTTACCTAATGTGATGATATATTAAGTAATAAATTTTATCATTTCTATTTCATCTTTTTTTTTTTTTCGTTTCTTCATTATTTCACTTTTAGATTGAAAAATATTGATTATTACGTTCTTTTTTTAAACTGACAATCTGGTTTTTTTTTTCTTGTGTTCTTTCACTTTACATCTAATCAATATATATAATTTAGTTGAATTATTACTATTACTTAGATATTGTTTGCTTATTTTTCTCTCACATCATATATATATAGTTTTCAATCTATTGTATTATTATATTGTACGCACGATCGATCTCTAATATGTTAAATGTCTCTGAGCAACAATAATAACAGTGTGTTCTTTCGAATGTCCAATTTCGTCGCGAATGGCCTATATACAAAACAGTTCGAGCTCTTCGACTAGACGATCATTACGTTTATTAACGTATGTTGAAAATTATTTACAAAAAAATAAACGTTTTTTTTTTTTCTTTTATCAAAAACTAGAGCTGAACGTAAATCAACAATTACGACGACAAACGAATCTACTAATATCGACGGTAAAAGATAAAATAAATGAATTATTTTTAATATTAATTTTTTTTAGTAGAAGAAGAAGAAGGAGAAGAATTACAACCAATAGCACGTCAAGCAAAATTTAAAGCACTTGAAGCTATATCAATAACTAATAATAATAATAAACGTCGAAGTGAACCTGAATTAGATATTGAACAAAATAATATTGAAAAACAAGAATTAGAAGAATATCCAACAAATTCTAATAATAATAATCGAAAACGTACACATTCAAAACAAGCAGCATCATCATCATCATCTCATCATAGTATTCGTCATGTATCAAATACTATAAGACGTCGTAAACGAAATAAAAAATCAACAACACGTATTGATAAATTATCATTAAAAACAGTAAAACGTCAACGACAATTATCATCTGACGACGACGACAACGATAATAATAATCATTTATCAATACAAACAAAATCAAAAAAAAATTCAACATCAATATTAATTAATCGTACACGTTCAAAATCAAATTTAAGAAAACAAAATAATTCAAATAGTGATTTAGAACAACAACAACAAAGTGAAAGTATAAATACGGGAAATTTTTGTACTAGACAAGAATCAGGTTAACAAAAATTTAATTTAAATTAAATTTAAAAAATTTTCTATAGGTGAACAAGAACTTCATACTGTTGTAAGTGATCCTTTAACTACAAATACTCGACGATCACGTGCAAATATTCATCATCGTCGATATTCAAATAAAACACCTATTGATTATTTGACAACGGGTCAATCGTCTTCTAGGTAATATATTATTCAATACACATACTGTGCATATATACATATAAAAGAAAAGATGTTGATCAGTAAATGTAACCAATCAACCATAATGAATTGAACTATTTCACACGAAATGAGAGTATCAAGATTATTCAATAAAGTCTATTATCAATTTTTTTGTACTAGAAAGATTTTGAATAGAGAAATTTTGTTTCTAAAATAAAAAACGCTAAAATATTAGTTTTTCAGTATTTAAAAAAAAAGTTGCGTGTGAGTTCTCTCTGCAATGATTTTTATCATAGAATAATTTAATTGAAGGTCAAAAAAAAATGGCTTTTCTATAGAAAATAATTTTCTCTATACAAATCATTATTTTACTACTTACTATATATATATTAAATAATGAAATGTCATATATCTTTTACTATGTGATATTCAGTAGATTTGTAATGTAAAAGAAAAAAAAAAAACCATTACCTATAAACAATGTTTTAATGAAACTAACAAAATATAAATCAAAATTTTTTACCTTAATAATTATTTATAGTTTTAGAAAACTTGAAATTTCCATGAAAAAATAATTGTATTTACATTTAGTCTAATTTATTATGGCCCCATCTCATGAAGGTTATTGATGCAATGAAATTTTAGTAAAAAAAAAAAAAAGAAACATCATTTGTCAATGAGTTGTATGAATACAAGTAACCTTGTATATACACACCATGAGACATTTTTTTTGCCTTTCGATTAAGGACAACGTCTTTTTTTTTTCTTTTTCTACGTACTAAAAGAGTGTGCGAATGAATTCTTTTCTTTCCATATGACAATCTTATTGCTTTGTAAAACAAAAAAGAAGAAATCACTAAATTAAAACAGTTCTTTTTATTTCTCTAGTCGTTCGTCGGTGCCTGTCACCAACACCGGCGGTATTGACAATCGACCGTGTGACACAAATAGCAGTTTACCATCATCAACACATCCTTTACATTTATTTAATTCACCTGCATATTATCAACAAACTGCATCTCCTCCACCATCATCATCATCTGCTCAATCATTTTCAGGTGTTGTTCCAACAGCATCATATAGTTCATCATTTCTTGCTAGTACAGCATCAGCAAGTACACATCGTAATACAAAACAATCATTACCAATGTCAACTGAAAGTGATACAGATCCAGAAAATAATATTGGACATATGAGTCCATCACCACGTGATGTTTTATCGGATCCAGCATTTGCACGTGCTGCTGCTGCTGCTGCAGCTGCTGCTGGTGGTCCAACAAGTGCAGCACTATTTCATACATTATCAGGTCGTGTTCAACATTTAATGAGTCGAGTTGGTGGTAGTAGTTCAGTAAATGCTATTAATGGACGTTTACAACAATATATTCAAGGAATACAAGTAAGATTTTGATTATAGAAGCATTAATATTTCTATAATATTCTTATATTTTAGTCACCTGATCCTGATGTTCGATTAACAACACTTAATGAATTATGTTCGGTAAGTTTCGAAAAAGAAAAAAATAAAAATAAGATATATTGATAAATTTTCTTTTCTAGCTTCTTGTCATGAGCAATGAAGAAACATTACCCGGTTTTCAATTTCGTGTTCTTTATCCATCATTACGTGATTGTTTAGCCGATGAAAATGAAGCTAATGCTGAAATTGTTTTAACAGCATGTCGAGCATTAACTTATCTTATGGAAGCATTACCACGTTCAGCAGGACAAATTGTTGAAGCAACACCAATATTTTTAAGCAAAGTAATTCATTCAATTGATTTAAAATTATTTTTATTATTGATTTTGTTTTTTTCTTTTATTATTATTAATATAGTTACGAAGTATAACATCAATTGATATAGCCGAACAAGTTTTAACAGCATTAGAAATGATTTCAAAACGAAATGGCAAACAAATTCTTATTGCTGTAAGATTTTCATATATATATATATAAGTGAATTGCAACTTTTTTTTTTTTGAATATTATGAAAAACACATGAGTAGTGTCACATATCCAAGATTTTGGAGACGCCACCACATCTCCCGTGGGAGATGCCGCGTCTCCCGCTGGAGACGCGACACCCACACTCGAGAGATCTAGTCATTCACCACTGGAGATGTAAGATCTCCTTTAGAGATGCGCATCCCCCACACCCACACCCACATCTCTCGCGCGAGATGCGGCATCTCCCACGGGAGACGTGGTGGCATCTCCAAAATCTTGGATATGTGACACTGCTGGAAATAACGTAAAAATTAACCAAATACTAAAAGTGTGCTAAACTTTTTTCCCTACTTTATATTACAGTGTTTAGTATTTTGACGTCATTATTCAATGAAAATCAAAAAATTTTTTTTACCAAAATGATCAGCGAAAAAAAGCTCGATATGAGAGAAAATGTTCAGAATATCCTTATTATTCGTTTATGCGTAAAAATAAAAATGTACATGCTTTTTTTTTGCCCTCACCATATGAAAGACAGAAAAGAAGTTCACAAAAATTCGTCGTGAAATTTATCCGAATAGAGTATTCTCGAATGAGTTTAACTACAAATATCTATTAAAAAATAATCTGTGAATGTCGGACGAAGAAAAAATCAATTATTTTTAATTGTACCAAAAAAAAAATTTTACAATTCATTCATATATATATATATAAATAAATAATTTTTGATTTTGTTTATAGGATGGTATTAGTGCATGTCTTGAATATATTGAATTTTTTTCAATAACATCACAAAATAAAGCTCTATCAATAGTTGCTAATTGTTGTATACATATATTAATACGTAATGATTTTAATTATATACGTGGACATTTAGAAAATCTTTCAAATCGTTTACGTTCGGATGATAAAAAAACAGTTGAACATGTTTGTACAATATTTTCACGTTTAGTTGAAAATTTTCATCGTGATTCATTAATATTACGTGAAATAGCATCAATACAATTACTTAAAACAATGCAAACAATGCTTGTTATACAACCAACATTATTAAATAGTATAACATTTGTTAGTATTATTCATATGTTATTTATTTTTTCGGCATATTGTCCAATACTTGCTGTTACATTACTTAAAATGAATATAGCTGAAACACTTATATGTTTATTAACGGGTACAAATGAAAATAAATCAATAATAAAAACAATTCCAATAACATATAAATCAGCAGCATTATCAACAAATGAAATTATATCAATGAATATAACATCAATACAACAAACAAATAATATTGAACTTATATCACGTACACCACAAGAATTATATGAAATTGTTTCATTAATTGGTGAAATGATGCCACGTTTACCAAATGATGATCCATTATTTCAAATTGATCAATTATTTCGTCGTAATATATTATCACATAGAGCTTATGATGCTAGTTCAAATGGTTATGTTCTATGGCATTGGCAAGATGATCAAGGTAGAAATATTATCTTAATAGTAATTAAAAGAAAAATAAATTCTATTGAGATAAACATCTATAATAATCTAATGAAGAATTGATTTTATAATTTTTCTAAAGAAATATTGAAGAAAAGATCAAAAGTGAAAGACTTATGAAGAGTAGCGACTTAGCAGAGTGCATATAGCGTTACAGAGGGTGAAGAATATACCCGTCTGCGCCTACGCCGTAGGGGGAAATTTTTCGATTTCTAGGAGCGTTTTGGGGAAAATGCTGAGGGAAAAAAATCCTCGTAGGGGGAAATTTTTCAAAACTGCGGCAGATTCTGCATCTCTGTAGCGTTACTTCATATCAGAAAACCTTGTTGTAAAATGTTCAAGCATCCATGTTGACCAAGTCTAGTCGTAAACAATCGTACTTAACAAAATATGAAGGTCGACATCGTTAAGCATTATAATCGTATATACAACGACATAAGATTCTAGATCAAATAAACACGATCGTATTACCAGACATCTATTTATGACCCGAAAACTGTATGAGCCATTATTTTTGAATGAAAAGGACAGCATTGTCAACTGATGAGGAAAGTTGTAAAATTTTTCAGTGTCCTGCCATCACCTTATGACACGGTTAGCATATTTCTACAACCTATTTATTATAAATTCTTAATTGACGATAGGAGCGAAACAGTTTTCTCTAAAAAAAAGAGATAATGTATAATCATGTCTTTCGTAAAAATGGCAAAGAAGTATTATGATTATTTCTTGTAGTTGATGAGTTTAAACTAAATCATACTTTCTAATAGTAATCGAATAAATATTTATAGGACAAATGCGCAAGATAAGGAAATAGATGTAAAAACAGTATTAACCTTGAAATAAATCTATGTACGTCTATACTTATCAGTTGTTTGCAAGAAAGAGGAAACATCCAAAAAGAAAAATAATCTCACGATAGGAAAAATAAAAATTTCAGATAGAATTAGTTAATCTAAAAATCTATTCTTGTTCTATTCATATGCCATTGTATGAAGGGCTACTTCTTGATTGCAGACACCAATTAAGGGAAAATGTCTGCAAAGCAGAATCGGGGGGTGAGAGACAAAAATGACCGTTAACTGGAACAGGTTCACTTTGTGGAATCAAGATTTATTTATTATATGAAAAGAATACACAAAAATCATTAATGAAAGACAAATGAACATTTAACTTTGTTGAGGTTCATAGTCAAGATCATCCTTGTCAAATGTATCGAATACATTGATATATCGATAACCAAGTGAACGTAATCTTTGTTGATAATCTTTAAGATCCAATAGACCATCTAAATAATCTTGTTTTGCTTGAATTCGTTTACTTTCGCTTCTATTCAAAATGCAGATGTTTTTCTCTCCCTCATTTCCACTTTGCAGTCATTTTTTGTCTCTCCTCCTCGTTTCCATTTTGCAGTCATTTTTTTTTTCTTTCTTCCCCCCCCCCCCCCCCCCCCCCCGATTCTGCTTTGCAGTCACCAATTAAGAGAAAATGTCTGCAATCAAGAAGACACGAAAGATATACATGAGCGAAATCAGCTCTTTTTTTTATCTCAATCAGTGTGAAATCTTTTTGCTCATACTTAAGTAAAGATTATGCATTTTTGTTTATTAAAATAAGAAAATTTATCATATTAGGTCAATTACGTCCATATTCATTACAAGATTCTCGTACAATAGAACATGCTTGGCAACAACATGAAGAAGAAGTTCAATTAATAATATCTGGTCGTCATTATCTCATTGATTTACAACAATTACAACAAATTAATGAAGAAACAAATCAAGCACGATTTATTAAACGTATTGTTACACCTGATACAACCGAAGCAGCAACAACAACAACAACAATAGCTGAGTATGATATAAAAATTTTTCAAATTATAAAAGAAAAAATTCTAAATATTTTTATTTATTTTAGTTCAATTGATGAATCAACAAATACAAATCGTCAATTAACAACAACAAATAATTCTTCCGATGCTCGAACTGAAATGATGAAAGATAATATTGAATTATATAGTTCATTTATACAATCATTATTTAGTGTTCTCTATGAAGTATATAATTCATCAGCTGGTCCAGCTGTAAAACATCGTTGTTTACAAGCATTACTTCGTATGATATATTATTGTCCATCGGATTTACTTGAAATAATATTAAAACAACAATCAATATCATCACATATAGCTTCAATGTTAGCATCATCTGATTATAAAATTGTTGCATGTGCTTTACAAATGGCTGAAATTCTTATGAAAAAATTACCACAAATATTTTCAATTTATTTTTATCGTGAAGGTGTTGTACATCAAATTGAAATTCTTATTGGTTTTGGTATAACATCATCATCATCATCATCATCATCAAATACATCATTAATACGTCATCATAATCATACAAGTGGTAGTCGTAGTCAACTTGATCTTGTTCATTTAAATGATAATAATTCAACATTACAAATTGAATCATTAGATGAACAATTACGAAAAACAAATACACGTCGTTATTATACAACAGCAACAACTAGTGAAATACATCCATCAACAAGAATTGAAACACGTTCACAACGTGCACGTCTACCAAAAACATCAACACGTACAATGTTTGAAGAATTTTCATCATCAACAAGACCTATATTAAATCGTACAACCGGTGCATCATTTTCAACAGGTACACTTGATATTAATTTTGGTCGTGGTCGTCCAACACGTGGTCATATTGGATCACCTGTTCTTTTTCGACCAACATCAAATTTTGATCCATCAACATATTATCCTCGACCACCTATTTATGTTCCATCACCATATGCATATGCATCAAGTGTACCAACAGCTGCTTCATTAATAAATCCTGTAACAACAACAACAACAACAACAACACAACGACAAACACAATTAATATTATCATCACAAGAAAAACTTAAATTAAAAGAATGGATACAAAATCAAGCTAAACATTTTCGTACAAATTATTTTTCAAATAATTCTTCAACATCAAATATAGCTTTACAAATAATAAATCGTTTAGCAACAGCTGTTGATATATTACATGTTGGGAAAGATCAACAAGAAAATGGTAAAGCATTACGTGATATAGCAAATATTATAGCTAAAGGTGATGTATCACCATTTGAAATGGTACATAGTGGTTTAATAACAAAATTAATTCAATATTTAACTGATGATATAACAATAATAAATAATCGAACAGAAAGATTAAAACAATTTTTAAATATATTTATGAATATACCATTAGAAAATGAACAAGATTATGATATTAAATTAAAACAATATATTATTGAACTTTATCAATTACAATTTAATCATGGAAAAAATTATCATCATAGAAATGAACATAATATTTTAAGTCATTTAATTAATAAATTACATGGATGTATTAATCAACTTGAACAGTTTCCAATACGAAGTAAGACATGGAGAAAAACAAAAACATTATTTAATTTCTTTTTTCAAAATTTTTGTATTTTGTAAGCCTTACAATGATCTTTGATCCTAGAATATAACCTATATAAGTTAGTATAGGAAGATTTCCTCTAGCTTATAGGATATCTATTATTAACTGCTATTGCGTATCGTGCATTTGTCAATAGAGGGTGCTACTTCTGTCATATTCTACCGTAGTCGCAACGAAGATAGCGCTCTCTGTTGAAATTTCATCGGTACGAAATAAAACGTACAATACTGTATAGAGGAAATTTTTCTCTAATAACTTACACAAATCTCAATTGTGAATACCTTTCCTAGTAAACTATTCTTTTACTGACAATCGATTACTAGTATACTATGAGTTGTTATGAGTACCGACTGTACTGAGAACAAATGTGAAACATAGGAATGCATCTCGTTTCGTCTTACTTGTAATAGCAAATCAAACTCTAAGAGTTCTCTCATGTTTAAAGGCCTGCAATCGACCATTTGAGTTACAAATTCTAAGTAAACCAGACTATCAGGTTATTCATAGTCTATTTATAACTTTGAAAAGAATTCTTATAGCTTCCAAGACGATTTCATTTTTAAGTCACTATTTATGCATAGATTTTATTTGAAGAGAATTTTAAAATTCACTTTCATTTATTTTCTATGTTCATTTTATTACACATAGGGATGCGCAGTTTCAGTTTATTGACCACCAACTCAATATAATTAGTGCATACTAACACACTGGCACCAGTATTCAGCGAAACATTGGAGCACACTACTACAAAAGAGGACATATTCTGATAGAGTTGGTGTATCAAGAATGTCAGGGTAGTCAGTTCCTCAGTGGATCCTGTATCGGTGACACACTATTCAGTATTACACATCTCTTAGTACATATGGCGTTAAAATGAGCACAATGAAAATGTGAGTTCATGAGACTAAATATCGTTTATGTCAAAAGAGGAATTAAATCGAACAAGAATTTACTCTCATTTTGATCTTTTAAAATAAAAAGAGAATTATTGATTATATGTTGAATTGAATGGGAAAAAGTTTCTATTTTTTCTGATTGAATATCATATTCTAAGAATTTAAAAAGCAACATAAACAGACATATTTTTCATTTATTTAAGTAGACATTTTTTTATAAATCATGTAGGGTAACACTATAGATTTTACTGTGAATAGTTTTGCTCTTTTCTCTTTCAAGTAACGCATGTATTTATCATATTCTTACTCTCAAAAGTGTTTTCTCCTATATAGATACAAATAAAACTGTAATAATTTCGAAAACCAAATAAACATATTGTAATAAACACTCGACTTTATGTCTTTTTTTTCGAAAAGTTAGGTTTCCTAAGGCAAAGAAACTTGTAATGCTTTCTCATTGACTATCTCAAGAATGAGAAGTAATGGATCGAATCGTCTCTTAAAATAACACTAGCAAGAAACTTCTCAATAGGGATTTATTTCCCACTCAAAACGAACGATTTGTCAATTTCTAGTAAGAAAAAGAGAATTTTAAAGGTGATCGTAAAAAGACTAAAAATGAAAATGTTGTTTAGGAAGTTCTATGTTTGACCTCCGTTCTCGAATGCAAATTTAGGTAACTCGCTCAATCCTACACTTCTCATCATATAATCACCTCAAAAAAAAGATGAACTGATCAAGTTATCGCATTTGCAAATCATCAATATCAATCTTTCTGAGATTATCAAGCTATATAATAGTGCGTTGTAACTTACTGAGGATATAATGAATACTCACAACAGACTCATTTACCTATTAAATTGATAGTTAGAATAATAATAACAAACGAAATATGAAAATATATTAAAATTTAAGTAAACTATCGCAATTTTAATATGTACATTTTCTAGAAAATTTATACTTTCGAATTTTAATCTGAAATTTCGATCTAATTAAATTCTGAAGTTTTCAATAAAAATTCGAAAATATGACTTATGGAGCCTCTAAAAAATATATTAAAAATTCGATGAGCAATTAAATAATAAACAAATAGTAAGTCTCGGATTTTCAGTTCTATCAGCCTGCAGCTTCATAGCAATAATCAGGCAAATAAAATATAGAGCGCCAACAAAAACAAAATCTATTAGACATGTCATTTTCGTGGCGCTTAATTTTCCTTAAACAACCAATATTAGTTCCATAGTGACCTATGGTTTAAATACAAAAGAAGAAAAACAAAAGCCTATAATTTATCTTTTATTTTAGTCAATGATATTGCTGGTCGACCAGCTCATAGTTCAGCACTTCGTTTAATTACAACACATCAATTAAAATGTAATCTTATTCGTCATCCACAATGTAAAACACTTAAACAATGGAATAGTGGTCCGGTGAAAATAGATCCACTTGCACTTGTATCAGCTATTGAAAAATATTTACTTCTACGTGGTATTGCTCATAGTACAATTGTAAGTTTAATTGAATTGTTTAAAACATTTTTATTCATGTGTTCGAATCTTAATATCGGAGAAAATAAAAAAAAATAATCCTAACTGATATTTTAAATTTTACCAGTTAACAAAAACAAATTTTCTCCAAAAATAAAATTTCAAGCATCGTTGATCACCATTGTTTATCATCGAATAATGATAACTAATGGGAATATATGTTTGCTATAAAAAAAATTCCTTTTTCTTTGGTCCTTTTAGGATGATCCATCAAATACACTTGATGATGATGAAAGTGAAGTATCAAATGAATCTGATGCTGAAGATGTTATTAATGTATTAACACGTTCATCAACAATGAGACTTGAATTTTTAATTAATGATCATATTATTCCACATAATATGACTATATATCAAGCTGTTCGATTATATAGTATACCAACACAACGAACAGCGTAAGAAAAGAATAAAAAAAAAAAATTTTTTTTTTTTTTTTATTTTAAACGAAATTTTCATTTAGTGATAATGAATCTGAAACTGATACAGATGAATCAATATTTTCTTCATCAACAATATGGACACGTATACATACAATAAATTATCGTCAAGCAACAAATTCATTATCAACAATTAATACATCTAATATAACAACAATATCATCATCAAATCGTATACGACGTACAATAAATACACAAAATTTAACAAAAAAAACAATAAAAAATTCAAAACGTTCATCAATAATATCAACAATTGATGAATTATGGTTAAATGGACAATGTAAAAAATCAAAATCATTATTAATATCAATATTAGATGAATCATTATTATCAATATTAACAATAAATGATTTATCATTAAATGCAATATATCTTTTACGTATATTAAATTGTTTAAATCTATATTGGTATGATTTATATATAAATACAAATACAATGTATAATAATCAAAATTCATTATTAACATTAATATCAAAAAATGAATTTTTATCAGCAAAATTAACATCAAAAGTTAATAGACAATTACAAGATCCTGTTGTTATTATGATGGGACAAATACCATTATGGATAACAGAAATGGGTTATTCATGTTTATTTTTATTTCCATTTGAAACTCGACAAATGCTTTTTTATCCATGTGCATTTGATCGTGAACGTGCAATGCAAAGACTTTTAGATAGTTCAGATATGTTAACACAACAACATAATAATGATCAAACAGATAGACAATCAATTATACCGAGAATTGAAAGAAAAAAAATACAATTATCAAGAATTAATATTCTTTTTGAAATGGAAAAAATTCTTGATAATTGGAATTCAAAACATTTTCTTGAAGTTCAATATGAAGATGAAGTAAAATAATAATAATCGAAATACATAATTATTGTAATTCGAAATTTTTTTTTTTTTAAGGTTGGTTTTGGTCTTGGACCTACACTTGAAGCTTATTCATTATTATCAAAAGAATTACAAAAAAATGGTTTAGAATTATGGAGAACTGACAAAATTTTTGAGTCAACAAAAGGTTATTTGAATTAATATTTACTAATAAAACAATTATTTCATAAGAATATAAATTTCATATACTGCATATTCTTCCGACACGAATATAATTCTACTACAGAATACTATTTCTCTATTGATTCCTAAAAGATAGTCTGAAAGCCATCTAACAAGGGAACCTTCCCAGGTGTCGGAGCGCTTTTCAGTTGGGGTTTCGCGCATCTTGTAGCCCATAGTGAGCTATGTCTATAGTAAAAAAAGTTCGGGTTTCTAGCTTGTTTCTGAGGAGATATCGAGCTCTTAGTGAATTTTCTCTATTGTACGCCTACATTGGCAGCAAAGCTATACTTTCGAATTTTGACCTGAAACTTTGCCTGCATAAAGGCCTCAGCTAGACTAGTTTGCATAAAAAATTTCAGAAGTTTTGAATAAATTCTCTCTAAGATATGAAGCTTTGAAAAAAATACATACTATATATATTATTATGAAAAAGGGACTATACTTTGATAGTTTCATATCTTAGAGAGACTTTATTCAAAACTTCTGAAATTTGTTATGCAAACTAGTCTAGCTGAGGCCTTTACGCCGGCAAAGTTTCAGTTCAAAATTCGAAAGTATAGCTTTGCTGCCAATGTAAGCGTACATTAGAGAAAATTCACTAAGAGCTCGATATCTCCTCAGAAACAAGCCAGAAACCCGAACTTTTTTTTTTAATGTAGACATAGCTCACTATGGGCTACAAGATGCGCGAAACCCCAACTGAAAAGCGCTCCCGCATCTTGGAAGGTTCCCTAGTAAGTATTCATTGAAAATCCGTACAGTTTCATACAGGTGTCTCGGAGGCATCCTTAGGACATCTTTTCTAGTGTAATTAAGAGCTTTCCACGAACTAGAAATGGAACTAGTCGGAATTTTTAGAGGTTTGGACTAGATCGACGGGTCTACCGGTAACGAATAATATATCGACAATTCACAGTACCAGAGAAAGAACAGTTTAGATAGGTTTATCGCGTAACAAAATTGATGTGCCAAGTTGTATCACATACCTGATATAGAAATGGAATCAATCTGAAAAGGTCAGACAGGCCGGTAACCGGTACCCGTTTCATCTCTACCGAGAACTTCCCTTGAAAGGCTATGGTATACCGCTGGGAAGTCTCTATCTGAATACTAGAGTTTTTTTTCGATGCGCATGCTTTGATCAGGTGTATAGCTGATTGATAAAGCATAGATGATGAATTCAAGAATTTCAGACTTATTTTGCTTTTAACCTCATAGCATTAGATGTGAATTAATGATTTTTTTTTGTTTTACACTACTGATTGAGTCAAAGTTTTTAATTTATTTTGTTAAAAAATTTGAAATATTAAATTAAGTTTTTGTTTTTCTTAATTTAGATAAAGATACAATACTTTCTGAATATGTTGATACACGTAATGGACTTTATCCTGCACCACTTGGTCGTAATGCAAAAGCAAATATTGTTACAAAAATTCGTCAAAAATTTAAATTTCTTGGTAAATTTATGGCTAAAGCACTTATGGATTCGAGAATGGTAAATTAATTTCTATTGAATATTATATAATCAAGAATAACAAAAAAAAAAAAACAAAATCTAATAATTTCATTTAGATTGATATGCAATTTAGTATTGTTTTTTATAAATGGTTATTAAATCAAGAAGAAACATTAAATTTTGAAGATCTTATTCATGTTGATATTAATTTATATGAACAATTTAAAAAATTTCAATCTATTATAAATATACGTAATAAATTAATAATACAATATAATATAACAAATCAACAAATAACAAATAAATTAAATAATACAAAAAAATATTTTAAAACAAAAGATGATTTTCAAATAGAAAATTTAACATATACAAATATATTTGATGAAAATGATGATAGATTATTATTTGATGGTTGTAAAATTAATGATTTATCATTAGTTTTTACATTACCTGGTTATTCAAATATTGAATTAAAAAAAGGTGGAAAAGATTGTTTAGTTACAATTGAAAATCTTGATCAATATGTTAATGTAATAAAAAAAAAAAATTGACAATGAAGAAAAAAAAAACAAAGAATTTCTTTTTTTTTGTTGTAGTTAGTTGTATATTGGACATTAGTTGAAGGTGTTCGACGTCAATTTGAATCATTCCGTGATGGATTTAATTCCATATTTCCTATTCAACATTTAAAATGTTTCTATCCTGATGAAGTATGTTTACCAAAAAACAAAAAAAATTAAATTTTTTATTCTTATATATTTAATATAGCTTCATCAAGTATTTTGTGGTAGTGGATCAACTGATTTATGGGATTTAAAAGTTTTAATTGAATCAACTCGTTGTGATCATGGTTATAATATAAATAGTCGAGCAGTTAAATGGCTTTTTGATATTATGATTAATTTTGATATTGATGAACAACGAGCATTTTTACAATTTGTTACTGGTAGTCCACGTTTACCTGTTGGAGGTTAGTTTATTAACAAAAATTTTATGGAGTAGAAATTAGTGGCGGATCCAGGATTTTTCAGTATGCTGGATCTCACCTACTAAGCATGGAATCCAGATGAAACTTATAGAGGATGATATTAGACTCAAATGATGAACTTTTATCAAAAGATTTTTGTGATTGGAGTTTGCGAAAAAAATTAGCATTTTCCTGAGCCCCCCAAGATTTTTCTTTTGCTATTCGTACTATTGTGCTTTTTAGAATTGAATAGTAAGCTACATCGAAATTCATCGACAGATTTCAAATTTCATCGAAAAATATGCATCCATTCAGGAGTTATAACGTTTTGAATATTTGTTGCATGCTGCTAAGATCAAAACAAAAATTCAAAACGTTATAACTCCTGAATGGATGCATATTTTACGATGAAATTTGAAATCTGTCGATGAATTTCGATGTAGCTTACTATTCAATTCTAAAAAGCACAATACTACGAATAGGAAAAGAAAAATCTTGGGGGTGCTCAGGAAAATGCTAATTTTTTTCGCAAACTCCAATCGCAAAAATCTTTTGATAAAAATTCATCATTTGAG